TGTATTTTCCACCGTTTCAATAGACACACGTTTGTCGACTATCTTCTTGTTGCTCTTCAACCACGTTACTTCCGGTTTTGGGAATCCGCTCGTCTGAATCTCGATCTTCCATTGACCGTTCACGGGAAGATTTTGGCTTGCCAATGTTTCGTCGTAAGTGATCTTAGGCGGTTCTTGCACCTTCAACTCGCACGTTGTTTCCGCTGTTCCTATATCGTTTTTCGCTTTCACAGTGAAGCTTGCCGATGAAGTTTCTGTTGTCCTCGTGATGGTGTACTTGGACATACGGTTTTCATACGTGATATTGGTATCTTCGAAAATTTCTCCATTTCTTAACCTGATTGAAATTATTAATTTTATTGATTATCGTTAATTTAATTTTTGATATTTACATTTGAAAATATTACTTCTTTATGAAGGAAAAATAATTTTGACTGATATTTATTTATTTCAATTTCAAAACAATAATTTAATAATTAGTAGATTGATAGTAGATCTGATGAATATATAATCAGATTAAAATATGAGAATATAAAATGATAAATAAATGAAAGAAAATTTAGAAAATATAGATACATATTTTCGACTCAAAATTCGTACCAAGTAATCTCAGGCGCCGGAGTTCCACCAATGACGCAAGTTAAACTGACGGTTTCTCCAAGGCCAACGACAACACTCTTCAGAGGTTCTAAGATAATTGGTGGTTCTGCAGCCGATGGTTTTGTTATCTTTATGTATGGAGAAGTTGGTGATGTTTCGCCTGGTCCAGCTTCGTTTGCAGCTGTTACACGGAAAGTATATTCTTTGTTCGTTGTTAATTTCGTTACTTTGTGAGTTGTTTCCTTTATCGTTTCTACAACTTTGGTCCACCTTTAAATTGAATAAAGAGATATAATCTTTCTCATTTATGTTCATCGTTATCAAAAAATAATTTATAATTTAAAATGTTTATTAAATAGAATTAATTCATAGATTTATTTTATTGATATTTATAAATATTTTCTGGATAAATTAAATAATTAATACACTCACGTAGTTTCAGTCTTTTCTTGATGCTCCAGAATATACTCGACAATAGGCGAGTTTCCATTTGAATCTGGTTTCTTCCAGTGAAGTGTAACACTGTTCTCAGTTACTTCCAGTGGTTCTGGTGCTCCAGGTGCACTTGGTACCTCTGCAAATAGATATATAAAAATAAAAATAGATATATAACATAGAAACAGAATTTCTCGATAAAAACACAAGATTGTTTAATTTTAATTTCAAAAGAAGAAGAAAAGAAGAAAAGAAACATAGGATACTCACGAACGATGACGACGTTGATTTCTATGCTAGCCTCTCCAACATTGTTCACCAGTTTCAGAGTATAATCACCAACGTCTTCTTCTTGGATCTTTCTGATAGTTAAGACCGCGGATTCTTCATCGATCAATGGCATAACACGTTTTGATTTTGTAACCACATGACCATTCACTGTCCATTCGTCATTCGGTTTCGGTGTCGCGCTGAATTTCACCACTATTTCGACATCTTCACCCTTTCTCACCTTGTACTTCTTGGGTGTGTCTGGACTAATCTTTGGCGCTACTTCAATGACTAGAATTTTAAAGAGATGATGATAATTGTTATTTCGATTGGTTAAAACATTTAAAAATATTAAAACTGCCATTTGACAAAAAAATTTAATTGGTTCTAGATATTACCTTCGACCCTTAATTTCGATGATGTTTTCACATTTGTTACAGCAGCTGTGTATTCTGAAATATCTTTAGTGGTACATTTCTTCACTATCAGTTTCTTCACTGTGCCTTCATCGACGATATTATATTTCGATGATTCCTTAATTACTTCAGATTTCCTATAATATTATTATATTTTATTTAATCTTGTTTATATATGTATGCATTTAATTAGTTTTATTTCAGTAAATAATATTTTCTGAATATATCTAAATGAATCTCAAATTTATTTATTATTATTTCTTTTAATAGAATAATGTATTTCTTATCATTAATAATTCTCCATGAAATTTCTTTGTCTTTTATACCATAAATTTTACAAAATTCATTTCTTAAAATATTTGACTAAACCAATGATTTTTATTTTATGATCAAATTAATATTTATATATAAAATACTAAATCAATTAACATAATATATATACAATTTTATTAGAAAAGAAAAGAAAACTAATTTTATCTTTACTTAATATAAATAAAAGAAAAACTATGGAAAGTACTTATGGAATAATCGAATTGATTCCATTTACATTTCCATTGTTTTATCTTGTATATATTGAAATTGTTTCTTTATTTGTCATTATAATATTTCTTCTTACCTCATCCATGTAACTGGAACATCCCTCGATATTTCAATGACGAAAATGGCATCTGCATTCAACGGTACAAGAGTGACATCTGGTAATCTAGTGATAAAGTCCACGCCTGGTTCTTCCACAATTAACTTGGCAGATGATTTTTGTTGACCGACTTCGCAGGAATAAACACCCGCATCTTCTGGTTCCGTGTCATATATCTTCAATCTCTGCCTCTTGCCATCTATCGACAATTGTACGTGTTCAGAAAATTGTAGTTCTTGGCCATCTTTGAACCATCGAACCAAAGCGTCTCCTTTCGTTAATTCTATCTCGAAAATCGCTCTCTCGCCTCTTGCTATTGTCACGTCTTGCATCTTCGTGATGATTTCCGGTGGTAATTCTAGAATGATTTGTAAAATGTCGATAAACTATTACAAGAATAAATGAATACAAGAATAATAACGACAACTTTGGGATCATATTAATTTATGAGAAGAAATTTTGTGAAAGTAAAATGGAATTAATAAGAGAATATTTATTTTAAATGTCATGAACAGTTAAATTCTATTTATTTTTTAAATGAAATTGGAAATGATTTAATGATTTTGGAATAAGGAAGAAAAGTTTCGAAATTTCTTTATTGTGATATTTTCATTTTTCATATAAAATTTTGAATTTAATTCTAAATTTTAGAAAAAATCCAAGAAGAATTTTAGTAATTTCGTTGATTAATAAAAAGGATAAATATACATAGACTTAGTCTTATGATTCATTAATTTTTACAATAAATTAAATAGAAAGTTAATACTTACCAATAACAGTGACTTCTGCTGTACATTTCTCATCCATAAGGGTGCACGTGTATTCTCCTTCATCATGGACGGATGTGCTTCTGATTAGTAATTTTCTAATGGTGCCATCTTTCACGAATTCTAATTTTTCTTTACTTGGTCCCAAAGACTCGCCATCCTTGAACCATTTCACGTCCGCTGTCTGCGACGTGATCTCGACTTCCAAAATGGCGACGTCACGCTCCTTTACTTCGCAGTCTTGTAACTTCTTCACGAACTCTGGTTTGGTAGCTGTAACATTATACATTTTGATCATATAAATGTTATAATTTCTTTTGACAAAAATTCAAACAAATTTTAATCAATTTGTATTACTTTCATGAAACTTCCACGAGTATATATCGATTAGAAAATATCTGTTTAATTAATTACAATTCTCACCTTTTACAGTAACTTTACTTGATGTTGATTGATTCTTCACAGTGCATTTGTAAGTTCCTTCATCAGTAGGACTAGTTCTCTTGATCATCAACTTGTGCACTCGTCCTTCTTGAATAATTTCACGATGATCCATTCCACTGATCTCTTTATCGTTGTGCCACCATTTCGTCGATACCGTGTGCGATGTTTCGCAGATCAATTCCAAGGTCTTGTACTCGTCGACGATCACTTCTTTCTCCAGAGTTTTCGTGAACGTTACCTTTTCCACATCCACTGTAACTTTGGCACCGTGAGAGGCTTTTCCAACTGGATTACTAGCGATGCATTTATAATCTCCTGCATCCACCTCTGAATCCGCGTTCCTGATCTCCAGCACGATGTTCTCACCGTCATAAGTTTCAATGATATTGGGTGATTTTTCCAAGGGTTTATTATTTCTGTCGAAAAAAAAGTTAAATAATGTTTTTTTTTTTCTAACTTCTTCTTTTAACTTGTATTCACGTATTTGTTATTATTTGAATAATTATTTGTTGCATATTTTATTTAGTGAATTTTCAAATTTTAGAATGAAGGAACAAATCAAAGTCATATTATATAAATTCGGGATAATCTTTTAATTAAAATTTCTTATTCTAAAATTTTTCTTTTTAAATAATACTTTCATATTTTTTTTTCAGGTTACGAAGGGTTAAAAATTTAATCTTTAGAGATAATAAAATAAGTAATAGTACCTTAACCACGTGACTTCCGGTACAGGATTTCCAGTAACCTTTGCGACCAATTTGAAGGTACCTTTTTGCGGAACAGTAAGTTCTTGGAATCGTTCCGTGAAGAGTGGCGGTTCTGGTGCTCCACTTGGTATCTCTACAAAAGTATTTATATATTTAAAATTTTCCAGAATTATTCAATAAGGGTAGAATTATTGAAATATTAAAATACACAATGAATAAATGCAAGCAGAAGCATATCCTACCCTTGGTTAAAGTGTAGTGTTCGTACGCGTGTTGTTGGAAGCTAATGGTCAGCGAAGGATTCAAGTTTACTGAAAAAACGATGTAGCGAAGCAATGAATTTTGCAGCATTAATATATTATAAGCATGATGTAATATCGTTTAAATTAAAAAACATTTAAGATCGAGAAAAAAATGTTAAAAAAAATTTAAAATAAACTATCTAACAGAAATATGAACCATTCAGTATCTAAATTGAACAATTTCTTGATTTTTGTACACACAATATATATCATATCAATATATTTTAATTTTTTAAAAATCAAAGGAATTAATTTAATAAAATTGATCAGTTTGGATAGCAGTGTGACTATATTAAAATAATTTTAATATGAGAATAAAAAGCAAATAAGTAATAAGCTTTTTATGGCAACAGATTAACATGTTCAATCTTCTTACTTTCAACTGTCAATGTAGCTTTCGTTTCGACCTTGCCAAGATCGTTAATGGCTGTGACAGAATAATCTCCACTATCAGATACTTGGGGCTGAATCAACGTTAACGTGTTCACGTGGCCATCTTGTTTCGGGATCAGATCCTTCAATGGTTTACCATTCTTGTACCAAGTCACTTTAGGAGCTGGATTTCCTACGATTTGTGTCGACAATACCACGGTTTCACCCTCTCGTACTACGTATGATTGCAATGGCTCTAGAATCTCTGGTGGTTCGTGTTTACCAGTCTTCACCTGTGTGATGTTAAATTCAAGTTATTTCAAATTTTGTATCTTTAGAATATAGAATTACAAAAAAAAATTATATATTCAAATTTAGAGAGAAATTAATTTAAAAATTTTTTTATTATATTATCTTAAATTTTTTTAAATTTTGTATCTTCAAAGAAAACATATTTTTGTTTATTATATTTAAATAGAAAAAACTTTTAAAATATAGATATATAAAAAGATTAATTGGAAAAGAATAAATATTCAATAATAATATTATCAAATTAATAATTATTGTATTCGAATTACAAACCTTCATAGGAATTTCAATGGTAGCTTCACCTTCCCTGTTTTTAGCGACAATGGTGTATTTTCCTTCCTGTTTCTTTTGCACTTTGGTAATTTTAATCACACTGCAGTACATATGCATATCACTTTCAGTAGCAACTACGATGTTCTCTTTGGTTGTGATCTGCGTATCCTTGTAGTACCACGTTATTTCAGGTTCCGGTACTGCTACTAATCGACATTCCAATATCACATCTTCACCCTCGTTGACATATTTCGCTTTTGGTTTTCGGGAGAACGTCGGTGGTATTCCTTCCAAGATATCAGCGAGCGATGATTCTCTGCAGAAATTGTTAAAATAAAATGTTAATTTATTTCAGTTTACATATAAACTGAAATATACTTAAAAAAAAAATTATTAAATTATATAAAAATTTTTAAAAATATCCATTAAAACAGTCTAAAAGAAATTAATTTTTATTTTATTATGCATTTTATATTAAAAAGAAGATTGTAAAAATATTATAATATTGTACATTAGATATAAATCAGATGCATCAAAAAAATTAAATATTAAAGAAATAATGTAAAATGAAAATTATAAAATTATATTAAAAAAATTTATTTTAAGAAAAAAAATTAAGTTAATAAAGAAAAAAGAAATTGATGTCTGAATTAAAATAATTTCCATTTATAAAAAAAAGTACCTTGACAGACTCTTTCTGGATGGACCAGTTAGATCTGATCCATGATCAGAAAGAGGCGCTTCTACGATCAATTCCGTAGTACTGGAAGCGAAACCAGCAGCGTTTTTGGCAACACAAGTGAAAGTGCCGGCATCTTCAGGGAATACTTCCCTGATGATCAAAGTTGCTACATTATCATCATCGTAGTACATTTGGAAGTCAGGGGATGGTTTGATGATGGCAGTTTGTCGGAACCATGTTATCTGAGGTCTTGGTAAACCTTCCACTTGACATTCGAATTGAACCGTGTAACCATCTGGTGTATGAATTGGCTGCAATTTTTCGATGAATCTCGGTGCTGATGTTTTCTCTCCAGGCCCAGGTTCTGCAACATTGAAGATTAATTTATCATCAAATTTATCCAATTAATTAATATATTATGCATATATTAAAAAAAGATATAAATATTTTCAAAATTGTTTTTTTCAAATTTATTTCCATACGCATAAATAAAATACGACATACTTTCAAATACAGGTAATTTATCAATTTTCTCGTGTAATTTGCGTTGCAGATAATGAGTATAATGGACTTCGTTGAGAAGATATTGCGCTGGAACCCAACCTTTTTCTTCTGTCAAATGTTTTTTCACGAACCACCAATCCTGATTCGTGTGGTCTGGAAAAAATGTGTATAACGAATAGTAAACGTTGACCCAGTTCTATAATATTATGCCATATCATTTTAACGCGTAAAAAGATAAATGCTTACCGATAATGTAAACTCTTTCTCCTTCAACGAGGTTAATGGCTTCGTCGGTTTCTGCCACATACGAGCAAATCGAGAACATTGTGTCGCCATCGCGGACAACGTATTCGATTTCTTCTATAATATATCGTTTTCAAATATTTATTAATATCGAAAATAAAATAAACTTGATAAACAAAAATAAAAAGTGTTCCACGTGTTTTATGCGGACGGTAAAAATACATACCTCCCTCTGAAATATCTTCTTCTCTGGTGATACTAAGCGAGGCCTCTTCTGCAACGCGTTAAACGAAGTATTATAATAAAGGTAAGCAGTATTAATCATACAAATTGATTAACACAATCATCTATTGACATAACAATTAAAGCAACAATATACTACACAATCATATTCGTTCTCGACGAGATATGAATATCGTTAGATCTATACCTATTCTCACTAGAAATTCATTACAATGTTCTAATACTATTCAAGTACGTTATACAAAGTACCGATATGCTTTTCATTCGCAATGGATTAAGAAGCAGGAGATTTTTAGGCTTCGTTTCGATGGCATAGGGATATTAGGGGCAAGCATACTCACTAAATGCACCTTATAGCCTGATGAAGCATGTTAATTTCTATATTATAGCTGAAAGCACGTTACATCAGATTAAACGTTATCTGCGAAATCGGTAATTGTGAAATCCCTTCCAACCTTCTTCGTAAGTGGACACGCGTCTTTTGGCCTTCAACTTCAACGCCAACGTTTCGTCAGCTTCCTCTATGGAGTATTTCCTTTCGTGTTTCAGTTTCAATTTCACGTCACCCTCCTCGACATCTTCCACTTTATATGGTTTAGGTTCCTTCTTTTTCCTCCTTTTGAATGGAAGCCTCATTTCGTCAGTTTCCAATTCCTCGATACTGTATTGATCTTTGGCCTCTTCATCCGATTCTATGATCTCTTCTATGATAGGCCCGGAATCATCCTCGATTTCCTGTATTATCTTGATCGTTTCTTCTCCAGTCTCTTCAGAGAATGTCATTGGCCGTTTCTTGGGTTTCAATCGAACTTTACCGGACATCGAAATATCTTCTTCCTCGTAGGTGTTCAACGAGATCTTGAATTCTTGTTCTACGTCTTCTTTCGTCTTCGTGGACCGTGGTCGGAACGTTACATTTTCTACCTCGGTCACCTCATTGATATCTGGCCTTGGTTTTCTCTTTGGACGTAATTTTCGAAGAGTAACATCTTCATAGATCTCTTCGATCGGTTTAGGGGGCTGCTTCGGAGGTTTTCGTTTTACTGTGAATTCTTGCACTTCTTCTTCTTCTTCAGGCTGTTTCATTTCTTCGAACTTTTTAATGGTTAGTTCTTCAGCCACTTCTTTTTTGATCTTCTGTTCTGGTTTCTTCTTCTTTATTTGTATTTCAGTCGACACTTCCTCTTCTTCTTTTGGTTCCTCGGGAACACGAACTTTCTTTATGGTCATGGCAGTTTCTTCGACCTCTTCCGTCGGTTTCTTTTCTGGTTTCTTCTTTTTCTTAATAGTAAATTCTTCAGGCACTTCCTCATCCTCTGTAGGAATTAATTTTTTGATAGTCACATCGGCAGCTTCTTCCTCTACAACCGGTTTCTTTTTTGGTTTTTTCAGAGATACTTCAACTTCTTCCGATGTCTTTTCTTCTTCGACTGGTTTCGGTTTTGTGATGATTACTTCAGCGACCTCTTCTTCTTCTTCTACGACTGATTTCTTCTTCGGTTTTGGTCTTAATATAACTTCCTCAGGAGCCTCCTCTTCCTTCTTTTCTTCTTCAACGATCTTTTTGATCGTTATTTCATCGGCAGCCTCTTCTATTGCCGGCTTTTTCTCCTTAGGTTTTTTCACTTCTACTTTTTCGGTTACTTCTTCAGGTATTTTTTCTTCTTCTTTTGGTTTTTTGAATGTAACTTCTTCCGTTACTTCTTCTGGAACTGGTTTCTCTTTCGGTTTCTTTTTCTTCAATGTCACTTTTTCTATTATTTCTTCTTCTTCCTTCTCTATAGGAATTGGCTTTTTAATGGTCATTTCATCGGAAACCTCTTCTTCTGGCTTCTTCTTTGGTTTCTTTATTTCAACTTTCTCAGTTATTTCCTTTTCTTCTTCTTTTGGAATTGGTTTTTTTAGTATAACTTCCTCAGTTACTTCTTCAGAAACTGGTTTCTCTTTAGGTTTCTTCTTTTTCAATATAACCTCCTCTGTAATCTCTTCTTCTTCTTTTTCTACAGGCACAGGTTTCTTGATAGTGACTTCATCAGCTGCCT